TGAGAAAGCAAGCTTTTTGATTTAGGTTATACATTTGCAGTCATGCAAAACATTTCCGTGTTAGCCGTGTTGTAAAAGAAAATGCAGACAAAAAAAGGAAAAAGAAAGAAAGTAAAAAAAGAGTGTGCTTCAATCTGAATTCAGATTCCATCAATTCTTTCACTGGAGGTGGATAGCAGTTTTCATCATAAGTCCTTCAGAATTGTCTTGAATCATTGAATCATTAGCTAAGAATAGCTAAGTCATTCGTAGTTGATCATCATACAATATTGCTGTTACTGTGTACAATGTATACAGTGTTCTTCTGGTTCTGCTCACCTCAATTTACATCAATTCGATGTAAGTATTCCCAGGTTTTTCTGAAAGTATTCTGCTTAGCATTTCTTTTTCTTTTTAAAAATATTTTATTTTTTCCCAGTTATATATAAAAGTTTTTAACATTTGGGTTTTTTTTATTTTAAGTTCCAAATTCTCTCCCTCCCTCCCTCTGCTCCCTCTTCCTTGAGAAGGCAGGCAATTTCATATAGGTTATACATGTGCAGTCATGCAAAACATTTCCATATTAGTCATGTTGTGAAAGAAAATGCAGGCCCAAAAAACCCCCAATAAAAATAAAGTTTAAAAAAAAAGTGTGCTTCAATCTGCATTAAGGCTCCACCAGTTCTTTCATTCCGAGGTGAACAGCATTTTTTATTGTAAGTCCTTCAGAACTGTCTTGGATCATTGTATTGCTGGGAATAGCTAAGTCAGGCCTACACAACCTGTGACCCTCAAAAGGATTTTGGGCAGCACTCAAAAAATGTAAAGGAAAACATCCACTTATGGTCCATGGACTGCAGATTGTGCAGACCTGAGCTAAGTCATTCACAGCTGCTCACTGTACAATACTGCGGTTACTGTGGACAATACTATCCTGGTTCTGCTCACTTCACTTTTCATCAGTTCATGGAAGTCTTTCCAGGTTTTTCTGAGGGCATTGCTGCTCATCATTTCTTATAATACAATAGCATTCCATCACAGTCATATACCACAACTTGTTTAGCCATTCCCCAATTGATAGATATCTCTTTAATTTCCAATTCTTTGCCAACACAAAAAGGGCTGCTATAAATATTTTTCCTTTTTTAAAAAAATTTCTTAGGGATACAGACTTAATAGTGATATTGCTGGGTCAAAGGGTTTTATAACCCTTTGAGTATAGTTCCAAATAACTCTCCAAAATGGTTGGATCAGTATACAACGCCACCAACAGTGAATTCTAGTGTCCCTATTTTTCCACATCCCCTCCAACATTTGTCATTTTCCTTTTCTGTCATATTAACCAATCTAATAGGTGTGAGGTGGTACCTCAGAGTTGTTTTAATTTAATTACTCTAATCAATAGTGATTTAGAGCATTTTTCGTAAGTGGTTTTGATTTCTTCTTCTGAAAAATGTCTATTCATATCCTTTGACCCCTTATTTATCAATTGGGGAATGACTCATATTCTTATAAATTTGACTCAGTTCTCTATAAATTTGAAAAATGAGGTCTTTATCAGAAATACTTGCTGAAAAATTTCCCCCCAGTTTTCTGCTTTCCTTTTAATCTTGGCTGGATTGGTTTTGTTTGTGCAAAACTTTTTTAATTTAATGTAATCAAAATTATCCATTTTGTATCTTATAATTTTCTCTCTCTCGTTTGGTCATAGATTCTTCCCTTATTCATAAATCTGACAGGTAAAATTTTCCATGTTCACCTAATTTGCTTATCATATCACCCTTTATGTCTAAATTATGAACCCATTTTGACCTTATCTCAATATATGGTATGAGATGTTGGTCTATACTTAGTTTCTGCCAAACTGCTTTCCAGTTTTCCCAGCCATTTTTGTCAAACATTCAGTTTTCTTGGTTCTGCTTACTTTACTACATCAGTTCATGTAGATTTTCCCATACTTCTCTGTATTCATCATGTTTGCAATTTCTTATAGCAAAGTAATATTATATCATATTCATGTACTACAATCTATTTAATCATTCCCTAATCAATAGGCATCTACTTTGTTTCCATTTCTTTGCTATCACAAAAAAAAGTGCTGCTATATTTTGGTGTATATGGAAACTTTTAAAAATCACTTAATTATATATCATTTATTATATATTATTTATATAAATATATAATATAATATATAATAAATATAAATAAATCACTTAACATATAAAAATCACTTAATTAATGACCTCTTTGGGATATATGTCTTGTAATGGAATCTCTGGGTCAAAGGGAATCCCTTCCAGCTTTGTCATCTCCAAATTTGATTTTTAATAACCTCTATCTGTGCTTCTGACAGCAAGGAGATCAAATCAGTCAGTACTTAAATTAATTCAGGCTATTCACTGGAAAGTCAAATACTAAAGCTGAAGCTTAAATACTTTGGCCACATAATGAGAAAACAGGACTCATTGGAAAAAACCCTGATGCTGGGAAAGATTGAAGGCAAAAGGAAAGGGGGATGATAGAGGATGCGATGGACAGATAGTGTCATGGAAACAATGAACATGAACTTGGACAGACTTTGAGAGATAGTCAAGAATAGAAGGGCCTTGTGTAGGAAGATCCATGGGGTCAACATGACTGAACAGCAAAATATCTATGCCTTTATCTAAGTCACTGGTAAAATGCTAAATACGGAAGGATAAGAGAATAAGCATTTATTTATTAAAATACCTACTTCACGCCAGATGCTTTACAAATGTTATTTCATTTGATCCTCACAACTCTGAGAGGTAAGTGCTATTATTTTCCTCATATTACAGTTGAGGAAACTGAGATAGACAGGCGCTAAGTGATTTGCCATGGGTTACATGGCTTCATCAGGCCGTGTAGAGATTCCCAAAGTATTGCACTGGACACCTCTTTCCAAGTTGAAAATGAACCTTACTGTTCATTGGGTCTGATCACAAGAGGGAAATAAAAGATACCAGAAGATGCTCACCCATAAACTAGGAGAAGTCATAAGGATTTCAGGGCAGAGTGTCATATTCAAGCTTAATGTAAAGAAAAACTTCCTAATCATTAAATATATCTAAAAGTTGAATTGGTTGTTTCAGAGGCAGTGAGTTCTCCATCACTGGAGATCTTTAAAGAGAGGCTAATTACTAGTGAGGAATGTAGTGGGGGGTGGGAGTGGACTTGGTTGGACCCGTTGAGTGTTGCCCATGTTCCCCAAAGTGAGATTCAGTTTTTCTTCGATTCCCCCCCTGGAGTTGGAAAGCCTCGAGGGTTCTGTAATAATAGCGCATTTCATGTGCAACCTCCTCCCAGGAGCTTTTGCCAATATCTCCCAGTTGGTGGTAGTACTCTCTCCCTCCTCAGATTATACTGCATAAATGTTCTATCCCCACAGCACCACGTGAACTCCTTGAGAATAGGAATTGTTTGCCCAGAGCCTAGCATGATCCCTTCCGCACAGCAAGAGCTATAATAGCTTTTCAAAGGTGCTGAGTAGACAGATTGAAAGAGTTGACATTAGTGGCGCATTGTCAACTTGGACAGTCTCCAGTGGGGTGGCCCAGAGATTTGTACTTGGCCATTTTTACCAATGACTTGGATGAAGGCACAGCTGGCACCATTATCAAATTTCGCAGATGGAACAAAGCTGAGAGGGAAAGCTAATGAGCTATATGATAGAATTGGGATCCAAAATCATCTTGACAACGTACTAAATCAGGCTGAATCTAATAAGGTGAAGTTTAATGGAGATAAGTGTAAATATGACGTTTGAGTTATTTTTTTAAAATGTACTTCACGTATATGAGATGCAGGAGGTATGGTTGGATAACAATTGGCTGGAAAAGGATCTTGGGGGTTTAGTGCTTTGAAAGTTCCATACAATTCAGCAGTGTACTACGGCATGCAAGAAAGAGAATATGTTCTGAAGCTGCCTTAAGACAGGCATACCTCCCATGGCCACTAGGTGGACCAGTGGCTAGAGCACTGTGTAGTGAGTTCAAATGAGACCTCACACACTTATTAGTGACCTGGGCAAGTCACTTCAGCCTGTTTGACTCAATTTCCTCATCTGTAAAATGAGAAGGAAATGGGAAACTGCTCCAGTATCTTTGCCAAGAAAACCCCAAATGGGGTCACGAAGTCAGGCACAATAACATACTTGTTGACTTATAGTAGGGATTCTTTTCTAGGTATGCCTCTCTTCCAACTCTGGAATTCCCATACTGTGAATAGATTAGAATCAAAGGCACAGTTTGAAATTACCTTATTCTCCTTTTACAGGTGAAGAAAATGAGGCTGAGAAAAAATGACTTGCCCAAAATCTAACAAAACATTTATCCATGCATAACAAATATTTGTAGGCCGTGTATTCTTTGCTACATTGCAGCACTCCTTGAAAAAAAAAATAAAGGGTCTAGGGATAAATAAAATGTCTTTCTTGAGGGGTTAGGAGAGCAACATGCTTCTCTTATACTGCAGCCCTTGCATACAATCCTGGCACTTAATAGGCGCTTAATAAATGCTAGTTGATTGACTGATTGATTGAATAGGCACTCAAAAAATATGCTTGCTGGTGGATTAACTGAATTAATCTTTTGTTCCTGGAGCTGTATTTTTTCAAGGCCGAAGTAGTAGCAACAGCAGCAGCAGCACCAACTGCCACCTCTTGCATCTTCTAGTATCCTGGTGTGGGGGCGAATATATTCTGAAAATATAGCCGCAAGCCTAGGTTAGATCTAGTGATATAACACACTCTGCCCGCACTCACGATTAACCCCCCCCCTTGTTTATGGTACGGGCCACCCAACAATACAAACCCCTTCTCTTTTCAGACCCGTGGTACATTCTGAGCTCTTTCGTCAGGGGCTGGGAGGAGGAGGGCCCCAAACTGGCCACGCCTTCTCTCCCTGATTGGCTGAAATATTTAAAGGTCCTGTAGGGGATTGGCTGTTCTTTTAGCAGGCATTTTTGAAAGTTCCTTGCTTTAGATGAAACATAGGCGTCCGCACCGGCTTCAGCGTGTCTACCACTGGGTCCATCGATCCATTCATCCTTTCTCGAAGAGAGTCTCTGCCAGAAACTGTACCCCGCAGGTGGAAACCACAACGTGGGACGGGGCGGGTTGGGGCGAGGGGGCCTGGCCAGTTCTGGATCTTGAATCCACGCGGGAAGGTTTGTGTGACTTGTAGAGAGGGGGTAGAGGGAGAACCATGCTAGCCCGGTGTCCCGGGGCTTTTCAGGAGGGGTTTGCATGTCCTTTTCGAAGCTTGGAGGTGTAACAAGGAGGGAACACGAAAGCCCCCTCACCAGAAGCCCCAGGACACTTAAGCAAGCTTCCCTGCACCCCTCCCATTCCTGCCCCCACACTATTTCCCAATCCTCCTAACCTAGCCCCCAAACTCCGACCTCTTTTCTCCGACCTATTGACATTCCCCTTCCACCATGCCCCACCACCCCTACAAAGGGTCCCGTGAGCCCCTCTGGATTCTCCTTTCTCCATCCTTGTGACAATCCTGATGACCCCATTCCCACACCACAGATTTTGTGCCTCTTGTGATAGGTGCTGTGCCCCTGTCCTCTGAGGAAAAAAAATCCTGTCTTAGGGGCAGCTAGGTGGCACAGTGGATTCAAGAGGATCTGAGTTCAAATTCGGCTTCAGACACATAACACTTACTAGCTGTGTGACCCTGGGCAAGTCACTTAACCCCATTGCCTAGCCAAAAAAAAAAAGTCCTGTCTTCATTCACTCATGACAAATCTCTGTTACCTTCTGTCACACCCTAAGTACCAATCATCCTTCCAGCTTCTCTGGATCTCCACCTCAGTATTTGATAACAAGATTGTTTTGTTTTTGTTTTTATAGCCCCAGGTCCATAGGCCTTGCACACAGTAGGTACTTATAACAGCATAGATCTAGCCTAGCTGGAAAGGACCCCAGAAGCCATCTAGTCCAATACCCACATTTTTACAAATGAGGAAACTGAGGCCTAGAGAGTTATGAATTGCACCAGATGGAAACTGAGGTCCCTTCCAACTCTCAAATCCTAAGATTCTGTAGGTTAACTGTCTTGCCCTAAGGCCACATAAATAATAAATGGGATTAGAATGCTAACACTCAATCCAGCTCCCTTTCCACTCTACCATGCTAAATGTTTATTGAATTTGATTAAATTGAGCTGTATCACCCACCTCGTTTCATCTCTCTGTTCCCCAAAATGATGGGGATTAGGCATCCCCCTGGTGTCTCTTCCAGCTCCAGATCCCATCTTCAGTCGACTCTTATACCGTATCCCATTCCCAGTTCTTCCTGTTCAGTGATGACAGATCCTCTATCCCCAACCTTCCTTTTGCTTTTTTTTTCCCCTCTGACAAGTCCTTTTGGTTTAAACCCAACATCTGTCCATCTCCATGTGGATATCTCCATCATCTAGGATGCAAAGACCCTTATCGATGGACGTTGTCCTTCCTATGTCTCCCCCATATCTACTCAAGTCAGACTTAGTGTGCCCCTTTAACAGACTTTGTATCCCTAGACAGAGTCAGAAGCTCATCGCCTATAATGCTATCGGAATCCGAGGAGCCAGATAACTCAGCGCTCCATTGCCGCGTGGCCCTAGAGGAGCTGAGCCCTGGCGGACAACCCAGGAGGCGGCAGGCCATCAAGGATGCTGAGCTCAGCTTAGGCCGAAATGAGCGGAGGGAGTTGATGCTACGCCTTCAGGGGACAGGTCGGTCCCGCTGCTTCCCACTTCGTAGTGCCAGACTTTTTACCCGATTTGCAGCTGTTGGCCGAAGTGCCCTTCGGCTCAGCCCTGACTCTGACTCTGGCCTTAGCTCAGGTCCCGTCCAGCTACTGCTGTCTGACTGCCCACCAGACAGGCTGCGGCGATTCCTGCGCACCCTGCGCCTTAAATTGGCCACAGCCCCTGGCCCTGGGCCAGCCCCTTTCCGATCCCGGCTGCTTGGCCCCAGACCTCAGAACTTCTATACCATCAGTCCTATCCAATCAGAGAACCTGAAACCAGTGTCGGCCACTGGAACTCAAGACACAACCCCTGTGAAGAGGCCATGTCCGCAGGACAAAGACCAGTCTGGCAAGGTGAGAACTGAGCCAGAGACTACAGAATGGGGGTGGTCTGGGGTGCAGGAGTGTGGGAAGGTGATATAGGAACCAGGGGAACCCCAAATTGGAAAACCAGCTGGTAGCTGTGTGACCTTGGACTTCAGTTTTCTCACAAGGGGATAATCTTTCCTTGCCCTACCAGCTTCACAGAGTTATTGTAAGGGTCTGATGAGATAATACATACATAAAAGTGGTTTGGAAAGTATATGGTATGTAATTGGGAAAAAAAGTTTAAAAAAAGTATGTGTGAAGTTGAATTTATATACTTTTAAAATGTACTGTTTAGCTGTGTGACCCTTGACAAGTCACTTAACCCTGACTGCCTCACCAAAAAAAAGAAATTTTAAAAAGTTGTAAAAATGTGCTGTTGATAATAGAGGTCTGCAATTTCACAGACAAATCCCTTTTTTTGGTTCTATTTTGGAAATGACCATTTCATTTAGTATTTGTCAAGGTTAGATTTTTTTTTAAAAGAGGTACATGTGTAAGATATTTACATTGTCATTATCATGCTTTAGTGAAAGGCAACAGAGTGTAGTGGATACAAAGCCAGGCCAGAGTCAAAAAGACCTGGGTTTCAGTCCTGCTTCTGATCCCTTCTAGTCATATAACCAAGAACAAGTCACTTAATTTCTTTAGTGCCTGGCTGTAGAAGATTTGCAAATCTATATTAGTGGAGGGAGCTTCTTCATTGCCAGTTTATTATGCAGATGAAATTATAGGTCTATATGACTTCCCTATCTCTCCCTCGAAATAAAAATCTGTTATTTTCAGGGTAAGGAAGATTGGGGGAAAGTGAAAAATTAATGAGGTTATGAAGGAACAGGGATTGTAGGACCATAGAATTTAGAGTTGGAAGAGACCTTAGAAATTATTTGATTAATCAACAACATTTATTATGTGCCAGGCACTGTGCTATGTGCCCGCTATATAAATGAAAAAAATGAAAAAGGCCCTGGCCTCAAGGAGTTAATATTCTATCCCATTCTAGTGAATCTTAGTCCAAGGCCCCCTCCCCCTCCCATTTTTCAGATGAAGAAATTGGGGGCCTAGGGAAGGGAGGTGATTCACTTAAGGTCATATAGCATGTACATGACAGAGCCAGGTTCTGAAATTCAATGTGCTTCCCAAGGGTTCCTTAGGATTCAGAAAGCTCTTCTGATCCTGGAGTAGTCCTTACCTTCTGCTTTCTAGGCATCTTCTACCAAGAGCACAGTGCCTAGGCATCGGCTCCAGCTTCCCTCCCCCAAGCCCCAGCTGTCTCAGGAGCAGGCCCAGGTGCTGAGCGCTGTGCTAGGGGGCAAGAGCATCTTCTTCACTGGAAGTGCAGGTGGGGAGCGCATGGGGTTAAAAGGAGATGGGGAGGCTAACGTGGGGGTTTGTTTTGCCTGGTTATGCATATGTGTAAGTTTTGTTTTTTCAATGGGTGACAGAAGGGGAGGTGGAAAGGAGAGAATTCAGAACTGAAAATAAAATTGAATTTTTAAAAAAAGAAATAGGAACCAAGCATAAGGAGGGAAGTGATGGGGATCTTGGAGGGTCACCTGGGAAGTCACCAGAAGTTTCCCTAACTCCTTTGGCCCCTGTCCAGGGACAGGAAAATCATACCTGCTGAAGAGGATCCTTGGCTCCCTTCCCCCAAAGGGCACAGTGGTCACAGCCAGCACTGGAGTGGCCGCCTGCCACATTGGGGGTACCACCCTTCATGCCTTTGCAGGTTTGTAGTGGGGACTTGGGGCCTGGGAAGGAGCAGTGCTGAGGCACAGCTGAAAGACTAGGTTTTGAGATGGGTTAGGCCGCAGAGATGGGGAACCTGCAGCCTCAAGGTCACATGTGGCCCTCTCGGTCCTTGGGTGCAGGCCTTTTGATTGAGTCCAAGTTTTACAGAACAAATCCTTTTATTAAGGGAATTTGTTCTGTGAAGTTTGGATTCAGCAAAGGGCTGCACTTGAGGACCTAGAGGGCCACATGTGGCCTTGAGGCCAAAGGTTCCCCACCCCTGGGTTAGAGTATTAGAATTCAGGTAGAATCTTCAGGTAAAAATGAAAGACTTCTGGGTCTGGAATCCATAGTCAGAAGACCTGGGTTCTAATCCCATCTTTGACACTTATTATGTATTTGACCTTAAGCAAGTTAGTTATGTTCTCTGGGCCTCAGTTTCTTCATCCATAAAAGAAAGAGTTGAACTGGATGGCCTCTGAGGTGCCTTCTAGCTCTGGGTTTCCCTGAAGTAGGCTTCCAAAGCTGGGTTTTGAGAGCCAAGGAAGTCTAACAGGGCTGGCTCTAGATGAAGACAGGTGAGGCTCTCCAGGGTGGGAGGTCAGTCCCTTCACAGGACTAAGCTGAGACTCTGCCTTTTACCAGGAATTGGTTCAGGAAAGGCCCCTCTTGCCCAGTGTGTAGCTCTGGCACAGAGACCCAGTGTACGGCAGAGTTGGGTGAGCTGTCAGCGGCTTGTCATCGATGAAGTCTCCATGGTAGAGGCAAGTCTGTTTGACAAGCTGGAAGCAGTAGCCAGGTTTGTGTGCTGGAGTGGGAGGGATGCCACGGTTGAGGGGTAACGGGCCACCACACCAGGGTGGGTAGAGAAGAGTCCGACCCTTCCCCAATCCCTACGTTGCTTGTGAGTCTTGGAAGAGCATCCAGACCCATCCAATCTCCTCAACCATTGCCCCTTCCATCCCTTCGATTTCTTTCCAGAGCTGTTAGACAGCAGGACAAGCCCTTTGGGGGGGATTCAGCTCATTATCTGTGGAGACTTCCTGCAGCTGCCGCCAGTGACCAAGAACAACCAGCCCCCCCAATTCTGCTTCCAGGTATCTGCCCCCCAACCATGCTCTTTCCTCCTCCAGTAAAATTGCACTACCCACATTTCCCTCCCTTCTCACCAAACTACACAGTCTCCCCTTTCCTACTTGAGTATCTGTCCCACCTGGGCAATAAGATTGTTCTCCCCTACTCAGAGAAGTAATTTACTCTATGCCTTTTGTAATGGATATCTTTTTTTTTAAAATTTTTATTTATTTATTTTTTTAATGGTTATCTTTTTAAAACATTATTTGTATTTCCAGGTATCACCCTTCTCCACTCCCTACCTAGAAATCCATCAGTTCAAAGAATAAAAAAGAAAAAACAGCACTTCAGAAAAATTAAGAAATGCATCAACCAAGTTTGATAGTACATACAATGTTCTACACCCATAGTCCCCCATTATGCAAAGAAGGGGGGGGTTTCTTCTCCACTTTTTTGCTCTTTCTCCCTCTGTCTCCTTGTCTGATTTTCTCTATCTATCTATCTCTCTCTCTCTCCCTCCCTCTCTCTCCCTCTCCCTCTCCCTCTCTTACCTTCCCCTCTGCTTCTTCCTCTACCAGGCAAAAAGCTGGAGAAAATGTATCCAGTTGACCATGGAGCTGACTGAGGTGTGGAGACAGACAGACCAGACTTTCATCTCACTGCTACAGGCTGTTCGGCTAGGCAGGTGAGCCCAAATTTTGGTTTTTGTTTGATGCTTTACGTGGAGAAATAACCTGATATAATCTTGTGATTTTGATTTGATCAACAGGAGGAAGGATCAGTAGAAGGTGGTGACTGATTGGATTTGTAGGGAGAAGATGGAGAAGGGGGGAAAGGGAAAGAGAAGTTACTGTATGCTGGGTGCTGTGGTTTATATAAGAAATTATTAAGTTGATTTAAGGGCCCGTTTCCTTTTGCTTGCCCCAGGTGCCAGTGTTGCTAGTTATGGTTCTGGGATCAGATTGGTGCAAGAGTAAAAGAACCACCTTAATTCCACAGGGGAGTTTAGGTTTAATAGGGTAAGAAATAGGAGCCACTGAAGGTTTCTTATCAGAAAGGCAACATAGCCTAAGTGGTAGAAAGGGAAGATTAATTATGCAGTGGTGTGGCAGAGGTCTGGGAGGGAAAAAGACTAGAGTGAGGGAGCTGTGGTCCAAGGCTATTGCCAGTGATGAGGGCATGAACTATTGAAAATGTGTGTGGAGAGGAAGAGATTGTAGGATCATAGCTATAGAGCTAGAAGGGGCCTTAGAAACTGTCCAGTACAACCCCCTCATTCTATAAATAAGGAAACTGAGGCCCAGAGAAATGAAGTGACTTGTCCAGAGTTACCACAGCTATTAAGGGTAGTAAGTATATAAGGCAGGTTTTGAACTCAGGTCTTCCTGACTTTAAGACCAATGTTCTAGATGAGACTTCAAAAAAAAATCTTTCCTTTCCTCTACCCCCCTCTTGTACCTATTGATAAGGCAAGAAATATGACACCTATTATACATATGAATTATCCACATGAGCCACGGTGGAGGGAGGGGACAGGGAAGCAAGAAAATTAAAGAAAGGAAAAAAAAATATGCTTCAATCTTGTACTCTGTGTCCATCATTTCTCTGTGTGGAGGTGAATAGCATATTTTATCACAAGGTCTTTGGAGTTGTGCTGGATCATTGTTACTAAGTTTTTCACAGGTGATTATCTCTATACTATTCTGTTACTGCGTACACAATGTTCTCCTGGTTCTGCTCACTTCACTCTGCATCAGTTCCTACAAGTCTTCCCAGGTTTTTCTGAAACCATCCCCTTCCTCATTTCTTATAGTACGCTAGTATTCCACGACATTCATTTGTCATGATGAGAGCCATTTTGAAGAAAGCTTTTTCAGTGGATCAGGATCAGACACGAATTCTTTACTGACAGTTTTCTGTGGATGGGGGGCAGGAAGATTAGTTGTGATGGAGAAAGAGGCAAAAGGAGTGAGAAGCCAGCTTGATGCCCCAGAACAGGGCTTCTCGTAACCTTTGCTATGTTATGAACTCCTCTGGCAGACTGGCAAACCTTATGGATGCCTTCTCAGAATGATGCTTTTAAATGTGTAAAATAAAATACAAATTACAAAACAAATCAATTATAATGAAATATAGTTATCAACACATTTTTTAAAAAGTCAATGTCCCCAGGTTAAGAACCCCTGACCGAAAATATATAAACCACAGCAACTACATTGTAACGGGGGGGGGGACAAGACTAGTGAAACATTTGGAACTATGGGAGAATACTGCCAACCAATAAGAAATCCAATATGAAATTATTTGGTTTAGTCCTGTATTACATATATTTATGTCCTGTAGAAAATTAGAATGAGTGAGTTGGTATGGCCTGGAGCAAGAGAGAAGCAGCAGAGAGTAGCTGAAGAGTGTTAGATTGGAAATCAGGAAGACCTGGGCTCAAATCCTGCTTCAGACACCTAGTACACTTTCTAGTCTAGAACCTCAGCTACCTCATCTATAAAATAAGTGGGTTGGACTTAATCTTTAGAGTCACTTCCTACCCCTGCTCTATGATTGTATAATCATAGCTCATCTTTACAATTCACAAATCAATTTCCTCAGGATAATCCTGGGAGGCAATAGTAATAACAATTGACATTCATAGAGCACCTTAAAGTTTACAATGCATTTTACAGGTTAATTTTAGCTTTGCAGCAACCCTGTGAGGTAGATAGTCTAGGTAGTATTATCCTTATTTTACAGATCAGGAAACTAAGTGACTTGCCCAGGGTCACAAAGGAAGTCAGTGCTGGAGCAGGGGAATGTGAAATCAGGTCTTCGGGTCTCCCTGACCCCAATACCTCCAGCCCTCTGTTCACTACGCCATGATAGTAAGTGCTAATCAGGGAAGTATCCATGATGGAAGCAGGCCTGGACCTAAACCTTAAAAGACTGGGGAGGATAAAGGTAACTGGATAAAAGGGGGAAAGCATTTCTAGAGACAGGAAATAGCTTAAGAGAAGGAAGGGAATCTATCATCAGTCATCAGTCAACAAACATTTATTAACAATATTTTTAAAGAGAAAAAAAGAGAATGAGAAGGAAGAGAACACTGATCAATATATCAAAAGTCTAAAAAGTTGATGCAGTGTTTGACCCCCTAGCTCTGCAAAATATCAGGGTCAGGAGTGTCTTCTTGTATCTCTTTTTTTTTTGTTTGTTTAGGCAATCGGGGTTAAGTGACTTGCCCAGGGTCACACAGCTAGTAAGTATCAAGTATCTGAGCCTGGATTTGAATTCAGGTCCTCCTGACTCCAAGGCCAGAACTCTAGTCACTGCACCACCTAGCTGCCCCACGAGTATCTCTTATTTGGAGCCATGATTACTCCTTGTAACTTTGCAAAATTTATTTTTTTATTGTTTTCTGGTTGTTTGCTCTTTATGTTGTTCTAGGTTCTGTGTATATTGCTTTCTTGACTCTGCTAACTTCAGTCTGCACCAGCCCATACAGATCTTTCCTTATTTTCTGTATTCATCACACTGATCCTTTCTGTACAGCCCAGTAATATTCCATTTACAGTCACGTACCACACTTTGCTTAGCCCTTTGAATGCTAGGCAGAATAACCTGAACTTTTGGGAGGGGGCTGGGAAGAGGCGCAGAGCCCGGGGGCAGTAATAGTGAGCCACTGAAAATTAACTGAGGAGAGAAATGACATGACCGTAACTATTCTATATGAAAGATTAACCTGGCAGAAACGAAAGGAGAGAGTGAAGTTTTGTCAGTAAACTAATGACAATAGTTAAGGCGTGTGATAATAAAGGCCTGCTAGGGCAGGGGCAGTGGGAACCAGGAGAAAAGGATAAATGTAAGAGGATCTGGTTACTGAACAGGTATGAAAGGTGCGAGAAAGGGAACAGTCTAAGGTAATCCCTAGGTATGGAACCTGGAAGACAGACCAGAATCTGTTTCTCTTTCTCTGACTCTCTCTGTCTTTCTGTCTCTGTCTGTCTCTCTCTCTCTCTCTCATACACACACACACACATACCATTTACAAGAATTGATATTATCATCATTCCACTTAGCTTTCCTGAGAGTATCCTAGGGGACCCTGGTGCAGTATGGCCCCAGTGGGTTGCAGTTACGTGGCACTTACATAATCTTTCATTTTGAGCCTGGAAAACGAAAGACAGGCAGGGATCTCTCTCTCTCTCTCTCTCTCTCTCTGTCTCTGTCTCTGTCTCTCTCTCTCTCTCTCACACACACACACACACACACACACACACACACACTGTTTCTCTCTCACACACACACACTATCTCACACACTATCTCTCTTTCATATACACACTCTCTCTCTCTCTCTCTCACATACACACACACCACTTACAAGGACTGATATTATCATCATCCCACTAAGCTTTCCTGAGGATTTATAAAGTTCCTAGGGAACCTGGGTGGAGTCTGGTGTCCGTTGGGTTGGGGAAAGTGAGACTGTATGTACCCTAACCCGTCATCCTCCCTACCTCAGGTGCACAGATGAGGTGACCCAGCAGCTAAAGGCCACAGCCAAACACAAAGTGGAGCGTGATGGGATCCTGGCCACCAGACTGTGTACCCACCAGGATGATGTGGCATTGACCAATGAGCGGCGGCTGCAGCTGCTGCGTGGTGAGGAGGGAATGGAAATGGGCATTGAAAAGAGGGTGATTAGGAGGGCAGGGAGGGAGGAAAACCATTTCAGAGACTCAGGGCTGCCTAATAGGAGTTGTAGTGGATAGAGTGCTGGAGACAGAGTCAGGGAGACATCAGTTTTAATACTGCCTCAGAGGATTGGTGCTGTGTGGCTCTGGGCGAGTCATTTAACCTATCTTCTGATCCTCTGTTCCTTCATCTGTAAAATGGTGTATTAATAGCAACTACCCCAAAGGGTCGTTGGGAGAATCAAATGAGATAATATGAATGTGTGTATGAATGTTCATGTACACACACACACACACACACACACACACACACACACACACACACACACACAGAGTTTTACTGCCTTGACAAAAGGCAGTCCTCACTTATGCTGATTTTTGGTGGAGTGGTCAGAGCCCTTGACTTGAAGTCAGGAAGACCCAAGTTCTAGTACTGCCTCAGACAGAGCTATGTGGTCAGGGGCAAGTCAGGTAATCTCTCTCTCTCAGACACTGACTGCTTTTCAATGAAGTGGAGGAAGCCATCCATCACCTTCTCTCCTCCATCCACCAAGTGGGCAAGTTCTTGCCTCAGTTGCCAATCTCCCTCTTCTCCAATTTCCTCCCTTTCTCCCTCTGGGAACAAGGGACCAACCAGGAGCCCCCTGGTCATGTACTGAGCAAGGGGTCAGAGCACATATCTCACTGGAAGGCACCAGAACATAAGCCCATCCCCACACCAGCTCCATAGCATGACTCCTATTATATGTAGGTCTAGGACTTGGAAATTGGGTAAGATCTGAGGTGGCAGAAGGGACAGATGATCCCAGGGTTTGGATCACCAGAGCTAGCCTTTGGAAAACTCTGCTTTTGACTCTCTACCATAGCCATCTTCATTCTTCCTTCTCATTTGGCAACACTTTGCCCCTCCCCTTTACAGATATGTAACATCCTCTTACTCTGTCCTCCCCCGATGAAAACTACTCTCCGGAAAGTATCTGATAAACTAATTGAAGTCCATGCTCCCAGGACTGAATCCTCATTGGCCAGTCCTCCTCCCTCTACCCCCTCCTCACATTCAGACATTCTTGACTATGATGACAATGTATGGTGTCTCTCAGGAGATTTTCATTTTAACAAAATTTTAAATTAAATAAATGAGTATTTTATAGTAAAATCCAAGCCAGGAGAGATCAGTAGACCAGGGAGGAAAATTTTGCCTGGTCTTGGTCCATTTTCTTCAGTGGCAATTAGCGTCCTTCAAGGTTTAGCTCTCACGCTCTGTTTCCTTCCTTTACCTTCTCGGCTTTCCCAGTAATTCCTCAAACCCGTTGGTGAGTTAGCAAGCTATCTACCTTAAGCATGTGAAGGCTTTCCCCAGTGGAATGGGTAGATGAGAACAATTTGTTCCAGTGGCTGTGAAGGTGGCTTAGAGTTTGGTCAGACACCAGAGATGCTGGTCGTGTTGACTTTTGTCCTGCCATTGGACTTCAATGACTCTGGAAGAGAGAGTGAGGCTGATGATTTTGTATAGCTCTGACTCACTTAAGTTTAATTCATGCACAAGGCAAGACACCACCCTGTGATATCTTTGGTCCTCTTTGAAAACGAAGGATGAACGACAATCTCTCTCAGCCTCAGTTTCATCATCTGTAAGATGGGTTATTCATAATGCCTACTTCACAGGGTTAGAGGATCAAATGAAATTTTATATATGTGTGTGTACCCACATATATATGTGTGTGTGTGTGTGTGTGTGTGTGTGTGTGTATATATACACACACATACATGTATGTAAGTATATATATATATGTACATACATTTCTCTCTCCATACACACATACATATATGTATATGTGTATATATATATATGTGTGTATATACACGTGTGTGTATCTCCTTTGCAAACCTTAAAGCACTACATGAATGTAAGCTTTTATTATTATCTTCTCTGTAGAATTATCTGCAATCTTATGTGTCATACAATAATAATAAAAATAGCTAACATGTATATAGTTCTTACTGTTATCTCATTTGATCCTCACAACAACCCTGGAAGGTAAGTGTTATTATTGTCCCCATTTTACAGATGAGGAAACTGAGGCAAACAGGTTAAGTGACTTGCCCAGGGTCACATAGCTAATTACTGTTTGAGGCCACATCTGAACTCAGGTCTCCCTGACTCCAGGCCTAGCGCACTGAGCCACTGACCTCTTCTTTACACTGTAAGCTCTTTGAGGTAGGGATCGTGTGTCAATGTGTAAACTGCAAATCTTCACCCCCATATCTCTGTCTAGGATCTAACAGCCTCTGCACACAGTAGCTACTTAATAAGCACTTGTTGAGGGGCAGTAAGATGGCACAATGGATACGGCACCAGCCCTGGAGTCAGGAGGACCTGAGTTCAAATCTGACCTCAGACATTTACTAGCTGTGTGACCCTGGGCAAGTCACTTAACTCTAAATGCCTCCAAAAAAAGAAAGAAAAAAAAGTACTTCTCCCCCCCACACACAAAACTTGCCTCCCGAATCCTATTCATTCTTAGATTGTAAACTATGAGAATAAGGACCATATGTTACATAAATTGTATTATCTTCCTCAACTTTTCACATAGGAAATACTCTTCAGTGCTTATCATATTCTATTATGTTCTCCCAGGCCAAGTCTACAGCTATGAAGCTATAGATAGTGACCCTGACATGGTCAGGACCCTCGATTCTCAGTGTCCAGTGAGTCGCCTCCTGCAGCTAAAGCTGGGGGCCCAGGTAAGTTGGAAGGCAGGACTGCAGGGTTGGAGGGGCAGGATTAAGTTCCAGATGCCAGGGCTGATTCTCCCAGCAGGGTTATCTCATGTCTGGTTCTCTGAAGAAGGCCCTCCCTTTATTATCTGCCCATGCTTCCCATATCTCGTCCAGCCTCCTCTGTTTTTGAGCCTGGCCATTTCTTCCTTCCGTCCTGTTAGCTATAAACCCAGGACACTAGTGCTTGGGCCTCCTGATATCTGAACTGGTGTGTGTTATTCCTATCTCACAACATTGCCCCCTTCCCACTCCTAGCAGAGGGGGACCGAGGGCTGTTTGAAACAAGGAGATAAGTACCAAGATATCGGCAAGTCTTTCCACTGTGCCCCGATCTGAGGTCCCTTCCAGCTATAAGTGTATAATTATAAACTTACGATCTCATCACCAGGTGATGCTGGTGAAGAACTTGGCAGTATCTCAGGGCCTGGTAAATGGAGCACGAGGGGTCGTGGTTGGATTTGAAGATGGTAGAGGTAAGACAGCCTCGGCTTCAAGTCGGGGAAGAAACAGGTCTAGCAGGAGGGAGAACCTACACGATTTCTAGGGAAGAAGGTCTGGGAACAATAGGATGTGATGACGTTTCTGGGGTGAGACCACCCCAGACAAATTGTTAGGCTCCTGCTTCTTTGACCTCCGGTCTTCATTGGTCAATTGCACTCCCTTCTTAGCTCTGAGTATTAATAGGCTGGTTTTCTCTTCTTCCCTCCTTGCCCACCCCAACCAGGGCTTCCCAGAGTGAAATTCCTATGTGGAGTCACAGAGGTTGTACGGACTGAGCAATGGACTGTGCATGGCCCTGGTGGTCAGCTCCTCACCAGGCAACAGCTGCCCCTCCGGTTAGCCTGGGCTCTATCCATTCACAAGAGTCAGGTGAGAACCAGGGAAAGGATGGGGGAGGCAGGGGGACAGGATGAATCCTGGACCAGAGTGGAGGCTGAGGGAGATCCTGATAATTTAGGTATGGAAGGTCTGTGTCTTTAAGCATATAAAGTTTCCAGAACCCACAGAATACATCCTTACTCTCAGGGGTACAGAGCAAGTTTCCCATCTCAGACTCCATCCTTCTTGCCCAGGACCACATTCTTCAGAGCATGGGCAGGCCACACTGAGGACCAAGGGTCACTAGGTTTGCTGCTAAATCTCTTCACCTAGCATTGGCACCTCTACCTTGCTGCTTCCCCTGCTCCCAAACCTATAACTACAGGGCAACAAATTCAGCATTCACTAGTATGGTTTCTGTGGTCCACAGCTCCTGTCTGGTCTCTAGGGAGTCATTGTCCTCCTAGAGCTTTCTCTCTGTAAGATGCTGTATCTGTAGTTCTCTCTTCCCTCTCACCCATATCCCAGTTTGTGTTCCCTGTACTACCTCCCACCTTTCTTCCCCATCACTCTTTAAGGAAGCAACTCTTCTTCAGGGCCTTTGGGAAAGTCTGAAGTTGCAGTTAACCCAGGTGTTTGCCTCCTCCCACATCGTAGGGCATGACTCTTGACTGTGTGGAGATTTCACTGGCCCGAGTGTTTGAGAGTGGCCAGGCCTACGTGGCCCTCTCACGGGCCCGAAGTCTACAGGGTTTGCGAGTGCTGGATTTTGACCCCTCTGTGGTGCGGTGTGATCCTCGGGTGCTGAAGTTCTATGCCTCTCTACGGGAGCAGGTGAGGGATGGGTGGGTGGATAAACCAGAGGAGGGGAATGCTCTGGAAGGCTGGTGGGTGCCTGAGGCAGTAACCAGAAGGAAAGGACTGGAAAGGGATTAGCTTTGCAGGGAAAGAAGGTAGTGGACCACAAATGCTGTGCAGGTATAGGGTGATAGAAATGACTCTCTGGAGGCCACCTTACTGTTAACCTAGGACGTATCAGCCAGGGAATCCCCAGGGAAGTAAGAGGTGTGATAACTGAAATGAGTGCAGGACGGGGCTGGGATGCACAGGCAGAATGGTGACTCTAGAGGAAGGGGACAGGGACAGAAAGGAGGCACTGAATGCAGACATGCTCAATGAATCTGCCTGTCTCTGTTCCAGGCTTATCTGAATGAGGATGAAAAGGATTCAGAACAGGAGAATGTGGATCCTGACAACTGAGTCCCAGCCCCCAAAAGGGCAGAAATTCCTAACTCTCACACTATCTGTGCAACCTTGAACACAGCACTTAACCTCCAGGTCTCAGCTTCCTCATACATAAAATGAAGGGGGATGGACTCAAGGGCCTCTGAGTTCCCCTTCAGCCCTAGATCTTTGATAGTGTGGGAACTGTATGTGTCTATCCCTTTCATTCTCAGCGTGAGGGTCTGTGTGAACTTCTCCCAGATATCCTCCCTCTTCCGTTCATCTCTGGGCCAGGGGATTTTGTCTTCTACTACCTCAACCTTCCCTCTGAGCAGGGTGGAACCCTTACCCTACTTCCTTGGCTACTAGAGCATGGACTTTGGTCCTGTATCCATCATCTTCGTCTTCCAATAAGAGGTCACACCTTTCTATGGGAAGGTTATGATCTTTTCACTTCCATAGTTCCCAGGAAGGGCTGGGAGCTGAGGGAAAGGTTCTCTTTCCCTTGTGGACTGACTCAACTTCTTCTTTCTTACTCACTCCAACAGCCACAAATAAGCTCCAGTTCAAAGGTTTTTAACCTGGGGTCCAGGAACTTGTTTTTAAAAATATGTAAATACACACACACACACACACACACACACACACACACACACACACACACACACATGTACAACTGTATTTCAATATAGTTGATTTTCTTTGTCATTCTGTAATGTGTTTTATTTTATATATTGAAAAATACTATTCTGACAAGGAGTCTGTGGGCTCACCAAAATGATCTGTGAGACAAAAAAGGTTAAGAACCCCTGATTTAGTTGGTAAGGCTGTGTATGGGTTTCACTTCTGGGGATTAAGGTACATTCTGTCAGGAAATAGTTTAAATCAATAAGAATGAGAGCTATTCCCCAGGAGAAATATGGTCAAAGGAAATGAACAGGCAGTTTTCAAAGGAAAACATTCAAGCTATACAACTGAGTGAAAAAACACCCCAAATCACCAATAATTAGAGAAACATAAATTTAAGCAACTCCAAAGTTCTGCCCAGCAGATTGACAAAGATGAGAAAAAAACAAAATTGACAAGTGTCGGAGGGGCTAATGGAAAAATAGGAATATTGAAGTACTATTGATGGAGCTGTGATACATCCAGACCTTCTGGAAAGCAATTTGTAACTATGCCCCAAAGTCACTCCACTGTTCAGACTCCTGGCCGAGTGATACCTCTACTAGGACTATACCCCAAAGATATCAGAAAAAGAGGAAAAGGATCCATACGTACAACAGTATTTACAGCGGTTCTTTTTGCAGCCTCAAAGAACTGGAAACCAAGGGTATGTCCATCAACAGGAGAATACCATAAAATTATGGTATATGAACATAATGGAATATTATTGTGCTACAAGAAATGATGAAGAGGGTGGTTTCACAGAAACCAGGGAAGACTTGTATGAACTGATACAGAGTGAAATGAGCAGAACTAGAACCATTCATACAATAAAAGCATCATGAGGGAAGGTACAGTGTGGCCACTAGGGAGAGGCAGGGTCTAGGACTCAGCGCCTCTTAAACTGTGTGTTGTGACTCAAAAATTTGGCAACAGCAAAAGGTTTCTGAACCAACAACCAAAAAATAATTAAAAATCAAACGTGCGATGAGTTCCAGGTGTTTCTGGCAGTGTTTGCCCACATTGTGTGCAACTTTACTGCAACCTTGGTTCTGAACACAAAGCATGCACACTTTGCAATGCACATGCCCTCAGGTCACACAACTAATGCTGCTGAAATGTGAAAAGAGTCCTTAGAAGAAAAAGTTTAAGAAACCCTGGCTAGGTAGCCTCTGCCCAAGGAGCCTTCTGTGGAGGTATATAATTATGCACAACTAAGAAGCCATCATCATTGCTTCAGCTATGGTATATTCAGGGTATAAAAAAATAAATTTGGAAGGAGATATACCCTAGTCCTTTAACCTTCTTCTAGAAGAGGGATTTGATTTTATGAACAGGGCTCCTGATTATCTTTTAGCTAATCAGACCATTGACCAATAGGTTGATGACCTAATATGTACCCAGCATCGTGCTGGGTGAGAAAGAAAGACACTTTCCATTCATTTAACAAATATTTATTGAACACCTACAATGTGCTGAGCTAAGGGAGATACAAAATTTAGATAAGACACAGTCCCAGCCCTCACTGGAGTTTATAGTCTAGGAGGAGAGATATGATACATAACATTACCTGGTAAATGGAACCAGCATTTAACCTTTCGGTGTCCCCAAACAACTCTCTAAATTGCAGAAGAGATACTAGGTTGCTAGGGAAAGCTCCTCACCTGGAGTTTGGGTATAAATAAATGAATGAATGAAATAATAAATAAATAAACCAGGTTGAGTAGCAGTTTGGTGGCTAGCATGGATTGGAGAGCTAGGTTCAAATACATCTCCCAGCTGTGCTGCCAACTCTCTGAACTTTGCTACTGTACCTTGCTAGTTTCTCACCCTGAAACATCCCCCTGCACCCTGTTGGTCCCCTCTCCCAGTGGTGAGTTCCTATGGTGCCTCCATGGAGGGATGGGCCAAGTTGGTCATGCTTCATGCCTCTCCTGGCTGTGCTTCTGACAAGACAGATTTGACCACCGTGCCTCAGGATAGGTAACTTTGCTTCCCCCCCCCCACCTGCTGGGTGGCCATGGGCACCTGTCATCCTTTTTGGAGTTTTGTTTTTCTCATCTATAAAATGGGAATAAATCCAACTCCTTCATTTGCTTCTGCAAAGAGAACCTGTGAACCAGCCTCGTATTTAGCTGCAACTTCCTTTTTTTTTTTTCCTTCTGGTTTCCTTTATGAAGGGAATATCAAGATGGATATGATTCAGTTCCTCCAGCAGTATGTCTGCCTATTGGTGCCCAGATAATGAGCTCACATTTAGAGCAACAACAGCTAAGTTAATGTTTCTCCCTAACACAACTGACTGAAAGTTACAAGGAAGACAATATCCCTCTATATGTTATCAATTGTAAAAAAAAAAAAAGGCATTTGACTTGAGAAAGAAAAAAAGGTTACCTTAAAAGCTCTTCTCTATCAAGGTGGCTCCCATGACAGTTACACAATTAGACAAGTTTCCTTGAAAAATATGACAACAAACATAATGCCTAATCAGAAGGCATTAAGTCACAGAGGCTGCAGTTATAGTCATGGAAGACGATCAATCTCAGAGTGCAAATGGGAGAAAGATTCAATCTTGAAGGGGAGGTCCTCTAGATGTTCTTGTTTGGTTTTTTTTTCTTTCTTTTTTTAGGCAACTGGGGTTAAGTGAATTGCCCAGGGTTACACAGCTAGTAAAGCGTCTGAGGCTGGATTTGAACTTAGGTCCTCCTGCCTCTAGGACCAGTGCTCTATTCACCGCACCACCTAGCTGCTCCAATGTTCTTGTTTTTTTAATTAAGCTGTGCTGTTTGCATCAAGTTCCAGAATATCAGAACCTCCTAAATGAGGTTCGTGATCATTCAAAAGAGTTTGGCCTAACTATCCAAACAAGAGAAATGTATCTTTTTGCATATGAAACAGCATATTGGCCATAAACTAGGCCCATTTGGCTAGAGTAGGGAAGTAACAGCAGACAGCTAGAAATGTATGGGGGTACCAGAATATAGAGGGCTTTGAATTCCAAGCAGAAGAGTTTGAATTTACTTGTTAGGCAATAGGGAGCCACTGAGATTTCTAAGCAGTAGAATGATGTGACCAGGTCTATCAGCCAATCAACTGATCAATAAAGATTTATTAAGGACTATGTGCTATAGGCACTGTGGTAAGTAAGTGCTGGGAGACACAAAGAGAAAACAAAAACAATCCCTGTCCTCAAGGAGCTTACAATCTAATGGAGGAAACAACATATATAAAATACTATATAATAACAGTATATGTAATAGCTAGTATATAATAGTAGTTACTATGTAACATAATAGTATAATATATAATAGTAGCTAGTATGTAATATAACAGTATAGTATATAACAGTAGCTAGTATATAATATCATAGTATATAATAGTAGCTAGTATATCATGTCATAGTACATAATAGTAGCTAGTATATCATGTCACAGTACATAATAGTAGCTAGTATATAATAGCATAGTATATAATACTAGCTAGCATTTATATAGTGCTTTAAAATTTGTAAAGCTCTTCACTTCTTTTTGATCTCTATTACAACCCTATGAGGGAGGTACTATTATTATCCCCATTTTACACCAATGGAAACTGAAGCAGACAGGTAAATTAGCATGTGTTGGGGGCTGGATTTGATTCCATGTTTTCCTGACTCCAGGTCTAGTTCTCTATTGACTGTGGCACCTCGCTGCCTCAAGACACAGTTCTATACAGCATATATCTATGTATATAAATGATTATTCTGACAATGAAGGATGGATTAGGCTTAGAGGTGAGTAATGAGGACCAGAACTTGGGTAGTAATGACAGAAGGGAAAGAAAAGATTGAATAGAGTTCGAGAAAATGGAATTGAAAGGACGCAGTAACTGACTGGGTGTGAGAAGTGAGAGAAGGAGAAGAGTCAAAGGTGACCCCCAAGACAGACAGAAAAAAACCCCAAAACATTAAGTGCTTACCAGCGCCTATGAATCTAGCTCAGGATAATGCAATTAGTTGGAGTCTAGTGCCCCCTCGTGGTTGCACTGGAAATTACATGGCTTTTTTTTTTTAATCACATCTTGAAAACTGGAAGGAAGGAAGGGATGCTGTCTGAGTTGAGAAGCAAGCCAGAAGAGACCTCAGAGAGAAGCCAGTCCCACTCACATATAGTCTTTGTTACTGCTCTGACCCTGGGCAAGTTTCTTAACGTCTTTTGTAATGATCAAATAGATGTATATAAAATGCTTTATAACTACAAAATACTATATGAATGTAGAGATCATCATCATCATCATGATTATTATTACTATAAGCCTTTTGTCAAGGCCACTGATAGGAGGGGAACATGAGCTTCTCAGGTCTTTGTAGAGAGCAGGGAGCCCATCCCCAGGCTCCTAGGCCATTCAGACAGCACCTGCTTCTCAGCACCTGGCTGTTTATTTCCCGAGTCGTTTCTGGGACAACAATGAAAGGACAATGAAAGCCATGGGTGGGCATCCACTCAAAGGAGCAACCCACTCCCCAACCTCTTTAGTTGCAGAGGTGAGTCCTGGGGGGAGGGGTAAACCTGAGGAATGGCAAGCAGGAGATGAAGACTAACCACCCCAAAAAAACATCAATTTCCCCAAGCTGACCAAGAATCCTGCTTGGCCTGGGCCTCATTCCTGTCTGGCTCCCCTCTTTGTTTTCCTCCATGCTCACTTATCTGGCTTCTGGCAGATGAAAGAACTGAATCCCCAACACCAAACCCCTTTTCCCAGAGACCTGCCCCATACTTTACAGGGCAGTCAGGGAGCCTGTTCTTACAGGTGAGTGAGCCCTATATGGACAATGCCAGCTGGCAGCATCAGAAGATTGGATTTGAAGAGAAGGGGAGAACCTGAGTCCAGGGGGTGGGTGCAGGAAATGAGGTCTCACTGTCCCTGAAACTGCAGGGGAGGGGGAAGGCATGGAAAGGTGTCAGGGTAGATTTATAGGATCTTGGGGGCAGCTTCTCCCTATCTAGACACAAAAAAGACCTTGTAAGACTGCAATTTACTTTACCTTACTAGCCTGGAGACAGGGTGGAGTGTTGCATATTACTCAGGGATCTGCTTCAAAGCACAAGATCAGAGATGGATGGATGGATGGATGGATGGATGGATGGATGGATGGAATCAATGAATGAAAAAGCATTCATCAAGTGCTTTTGGGTTGGAGAAGTTTTAATTCTGCTCGTGTCTAAGCAAGTGAAGATGCCATCTGGAGACTTTGCTCCTCCCTCATCTCAGCTACTGGTTGCTTTGTCCCCTTACCCACCATTTCCCTTTCCCTCTTCCATGACTTCATCTCCTCTTCCTTCTAGGTATCAATGGTGATGAGTGGGCATCCTTGAAAGTGTTGGTGCATATGTGTTTGGGCATAAGTGGAGGTGGGAATGGAGGGAGTAGTGAAAACATCATCCTACCTCTAACTCCTCCTTCTAGAGGGTCAGTGTGGTACAATGGAAAGAGCCTTGGACTCAAGAGTTAGGAGAACTGGGTTCTAGCCCTGATTCTATAACTAATTCTATCACAAGTCACTTGATATCTCTGAGTAGTTTCTATGACCTCTTGTGTCTGTCCCTATTTCCACAGCTGTTCAGGACCCAAAACTATTGAAGCTGAAGATGACTCAGTTTTCTCTGAGGAGGAAGAAGAAAAGCCACACAATGACCAATTGGTGGTACTGCCAACAAAATCCTGGGGCCCATCGTAAGAAAGGCAGGAGGGGTATTGGGCTTAGTGGGCGGCGGGGAAGAGAAGAGGGCAAGGAACGGATCAGAGAGAGGTAGTGAAAAGTCTTACTTAGCTGCACTAGCCTCCCTCTTTGAAGTTTTTCTCTCTCACCACCTACTTCCCAATCAACCAACCATCCAGAATATATAGAATTACAACTGTGGGCCCAGCCCTGTGCTAGACCCCATCAGAGATACAAGAAGAGAAAAAGAGATATATTTACCTTCAAGGAACTTAAAATATGTCTCTGGAAATAAATGTACATAGGGATGGAGTGAAGGAGTGGATCTGTAATTTCTTCCATATAGATAATTTCATTGGTATCTCAGACATTTCATTCATTTCCAGATGAGGAAACTCCCTCTTCCAATACAGATTGTCATCTTCTCTGTACCTTCTAGTGTATCAAATTGCCTAGAATACTGAGAAGTCAAGTGACTTGCCCAGGATCACCCAAAAAGTATGCATCAGAGGGAGGGTTTGAATCCAGGTCATCCTGGCCCCATGGCTAGCTCTGTCCATTATTACACTCTGCTGCCTGTCATGTAGGCACATGTGGAATATAAAATAGAATATAACTGAGGACTCTCAAATGGTGTGGTTGTCTCCCAAGTGGGGACCAAGGTCCCCGGGAGGCTGCAGTCCGACCACAAGGAGTGTGTGATTAACCAATGGGAGAGTGGGAAGATGGGACACATCCCACTCTCCCTATGAGAGCCAATCATGTTACTCATCTTCAAAATATCCTTTTACCAAAAAAAAGTTTGGTAAACCATCAGTTTAGAGGGTAAATCTGGGAGGCATTCAGAAGAATTGGGGAATCACTAGGATTGGGATGGTAAATGAGACAGGATTCGAGCTAGAGGAAGGGTAGGATTTGGATAGGCAATGAAAGTAGCTTCACTTTTACATAGGGGCCACAGAGAAGCCCCCAACTTAAGCCATGGGAGCTGGCTTCCTCCATTTCCAATCCACAGACCTCCTGCCTTGTAACTTTCTCCCTTACACAAATTCATTCATGTTTCACAGGTCCACTTAATAAGGTGTACAAGGTCAATGAAATTAGATGGATAGTCTGGGAATGGGGAATAGAAAGACAAGGGACACCATACCAGAGAGCAAAAATTCCACCTCTAATCCTTTCTTACCTAATCAGGTGGCATAAGGCAGGGAGACTAAGTGGTTAATCCACTTCTGGGATCAGACACAGAACCTGGAGTGACTTCTCAGTCCAAAGCAAATTCCCAAAAAAGCTGGTGGAAAAGAAACAGCAAGAAGCAGGGTTCATTCTCTCAGACCTGTTGATTGATTTTTCTTCCAAAATTCAAAGCCATAATAACAAGCTCTCCTGCTCAGTTCCTTATACACTGAGTGCCCATTTCCATCTCCCAGGAACCAAAGATCAATTAATTTTTTATTAAGCAGCTACTCTATTCAAGGCAAATGTGTCAGACACTAACTAGGTATACAAAGACAAAAAAAAAGAAACTCCTACCCTCAAGGAGCTTATGTTCTATTAGGGAAAATAATATGCACACATAAAAGTAAACAGAAAATATATTAAAGGCTAACATGTTAACTCTATTGGGGAAAACAACATTATCTGTGAGTGTGTGCAAAGTAGTTGCAAAATAAGTATCTAATACAAAATAATGGTGGGGGAGGGGCTATCACCCGGAGGTATCAGGAAAGGTGTAGATGACTAGAAGCTAAACTTTGAAGGAGATTCCAAGAGGCAGAGATGAGGACATGTATTCCAGGCATAGGGGATAGCCACAAGTGCTATGTCATATCATCAGAACAGCATGGGGGACCAGATTGGTGGCATTCATAGAGTGTGAGAAGGGAGTAAGAAGACTGAAAAGGTAGACTGGAGCCAGGCACTTAACCTGGGATCTCTCAACTTTTTTTTAAATATTTGATAACTATTTCAATGTAATTGGTTTCCTTTGCAATGCCATATATTTTATTTTACATACTGAGGAACATTACTCAGAGAAGTGGTCCATAGATTCCACCAGATTGCCAAAGGGGGATCCATGATATGCAAAGAGAAAGTTCCAAGGTCCTGAAGAGAAAGAATTGGGGGGGGGGGCACGGTTGAGACTTGTCTCCTAGTTCTTGCTCTGTCATTAACGTAACTTCGGGAATTTGGGCAAGTCACTGAGAACCATCTAAGTCTCCATTTTCTTCTTTGTAAAATTAGGAACTTGGTGTGCCCAGTCCCTTCCAATACCAAAATCCAGTAGTTCTTTGATTCTCTCTCTACTTTTCCCTTGATGACTAGTCTTCACATAACAATTCTCCTGGTCAAGTCTATGGAGGAAGAATGACATTTCAAATGTGAAATGTTTTGCATGTAGCATAAGGCCCTGCTCCCACCCAAAACTCTCTTCCCCACCTGCCTTTCATAATGCCTCAAACGATCATTAGAGCTATGATTTCTCATAAGTCATGATTTCTTTGGAGACAATTTAAGATACTATCTCCAAAAACTCTTTTGTTAGTATATATATTCCCTGAAAAGTGGGGTGGGGGAGGACATATTTATACAGATTAATCTGAGGTAACTTTTGCACTACCCACAGCTCTTGACACTTTGCAAAAATCTCATTACATCTTCACAATATCCTTGAGATGGATAAGGGTAGAATGGCGGATGGTGAGAATGGAGCAGGGAAGGAAAGGTCTGGATCATAGAGCATTGTTGGAGGAAAGGGGCATCTACCAATTGAAGACACTCTGGGGAAGGGGTGGTTGTTAGGAGCTGGATCAAGGGATGTTGGGGTGGCTCACTTCTCTCCTAATCCTCCCAGGCCTGTGTGCCCCACCCCCAACAGTTGGGAGGAGGCCAAGTTCTGCCAATCCATCAACAGCCCTTCATCATCTCAGCCCCATTCCTCCTCCATCCTGGCCCCAATCAAGTCCTTCCCATATGGGGAACCTTCATAATGCCTGAAATTCTAACCACGTGGTGGAGGGGAAGGGTAGAAGAAGAGAGGGTGGCCTAGCCTGGGCAGACAGCAGGCATTATTGGTACATGGGACTGAGGACTACCTGAAAAAGTTTGACAGTAGAGGCAGTATTCCATATTTGTGGTCCTCCACTTATGCCTTTTCTTTTCTTTTTTTGGAGTGGTGGGAGGCAATCTGGGTTAAGTGACTTGCCCAGAATCACAAAGCTCTATTAAGTGTCTGAGGTCAGATCTGAACTCAGGTCCTCCTAATTCCAGGGCTGGTGGTCTATCCACTGAGCCACCTAGCTGCCCCCCCCCTTTTCTTTTCTTTTTAAAGAGAGGGTAGAAAAAGAAGGTCTTAGAGGTAGGTAAACTGGAAAGAGAACAGGATTTAGAACCAGAGCACCTAAGTTCAAATCTTAGTTCTGCCACTAATTAGCTATGTGACCTTAGGCAAGTCACAACTTAAAACACTGTGCCTCAACTTCCTTGTCAGTAAAATGAAGGTTGTACTAGAGGTCCCCTGAGGCCCCTCCCAGCTTTGATCTTTGATCCTATGATAGATAGGTCTCAGGTTGGACTAGGTTTCAAGTAACCTACAAGCACAGGAGGGCTCTTGGAGTATGACCCCACCACCAAAATCAGTTGGCTAGAGGTTGGAGGTGCTGAACAACCTCTATTTGCTCACATTTGAGCCCAGATTTCTTTATTCAACAAATATTTATTAAGCATTCAGTTTGCTACTGTTCTATGGACTTTATCCCCCAATAACTTTGTGTTTATTTTGTAAGTTCTTTGCATTTACTCGTCTGAGGCCTAAGTATGGTGGCAGAGTAAACAGCCTATTGTGTTGGGCTTCGAAGGGCACCTAGGTGGTGCAATGGACAGAGTGTCAGCCCTGGAGTCAAGAGGACCTGCGTTCAAATCCAGCTTCAGACATTTACTAGCTGTGACCCTAGGCAAGTTGCTTAACCCTGTTTGCCTTGGTTTCCTCATCTGTAAAATAAGCTGGAGAAGGAAATGGCAAATCATTTCCAGTATTTTTGCCAAGAAAACTCCAAATGGAGTCATGAAGAGTCTGACACAACTGAAAAGGACTTAATAACAAAACAAAACAAAACAAAACAAGAAATGGGCTTTGAATCAGAAAGCCTGGATTCAAATCCTCCCTCAGACATTTACTAGCTGTGTGACCAGGACAAGATACAACTACTTTGTGCCTTAAGAAACTCCCTGGTTTTATAAGTCCCTAGTAGCTTTCTCTTGACAAAATCATCTCCTACAGTTATGTTAAATGAGCTCCTTGGCAGGGACTATTTAATTTTCTGTATTTGTGCCTTAGTAGAAGTTTGTTGAAATGAATAAACACCTACTGTGTGCTACTAAAGCACATGGGGGGAGGAGTATTCTCTACTGGGCATCATTGCTCTTGGCCAGAGTCAAGTGGGACAGTGAGGGAGGGATGCCTCCACTTCCCCAGAATGATATTGAGGCCCCATCCCCCACTTTCACTAATCTCCTCCCCTTTTCTCTTCAGGTCTATAAAGCCCAAAATTCCAGAACCAGTCCTCCCTGCTACACAGCATCCTGAAGAAGACCCAACAGAAGGGGGCAGAGGATGCCCAGGAGAAAAAGATACCTTACTGCCCACCCTCCTTTACTTGGCAACCACTCTTCTTTCTGCAACCGCTGGGATTTTCTATATTCGAGGTAGATGGTGCCCAGAAGATAGGGGTGCCTCCTTGCCTAGGCCCTGTTCCTTAAAGTAGGCAAAGTTTCCTAGGAACCTGGAGGATCCAGGTCCAGGACAGCATGATAGTGAAAACTGGGCTCATTTCTTGTCTACCCTTCTGCAAAAAAAAAGTCCCTGTGCCCTTTAATACCTTACAATCAACAACCAGAAGATCTTTACTGAGTACCTACTGCATGCCAAGATGGGAGGGGGGAGGAGGCAATGCAAAAAAAAAAAGTGTCCCAATAATACCTCAGATTTGTATGGTGCTTTACCATTCACAAAGTCCTTTCACAGGACAACTGTTATCCCCATTTGATAGAGGGGGAAACTGGGGCTCAGAGGGGCTGTGCCTTGGCCAACATCCTACCGTGGCTCACCTGGGATGACATAAGATGTGTTCCTTACCTTCAAGGAGTTCACAGTATATTTAGGGAATCAGGACCAATATAAATGGTGAAGGACCAGAGAATAAGGTGAAATTCAGCGACACAAACCTAAGGACGATAGAGACTGGGGGGGGGGGAGAGGGAAATGGTCAGTAAAGTCTGTGTAGTTGTAAAGCTTGAACCAGGCCTTGAGAATCTGAGAGCAGGATTTCTTTAGATGGGGAGGAAGGCGGCAGGCATTGCAGGGAAGGAAACCTTCCCATACTCTTCCCTCTGCATTCACACATCCTGGCTTTGCTATCTGGTAATAATACGTGGTTATAGTTAGGACCAAAGGGGCATCAAGCCTTGAGAGATCTAGCTCACTCGTCCCACTGCCTGAAATTCCCCCCTTCAAGGACCTTACTTTGAGTAGGAATTCTCTAGCAAAGGCTCCCCTTAAATGCACGTATGTTACCCAGACAGAACAAGTGGCTGATCTATCAGTACCTACTTTAGTATCCATCAATACCTTTGCCCCACTGGAGGCATCAAGGTAACAGTGGCTAGAGTGTGAGGCCTGGGCTCAGGAAGACCAGAGGTTAAATCTGGCTTCAGACACTCACTTGCTGTGTAACCATGGGCAAATCACTTAACTTGTTTGCCTCAGTTTCCTCAACTGTAAAATGGCAATAATGATAACACCTTCTTCACAGGTTGCTGTGAGCATCAAATGAGATATTTGTAAAATTTTTAGCACAATGCCTGGCACCATATAAAAGATGGTAGTGTAGTAATAGCAGTAGTAATATCTATCAATTACCTTTGTCCCACTGGAGGCAGCTACATGGCACAGTGGCCAAAATGTGGGATCCTGCAATCAGGAAAATACGAGTTCAAATCCTGCCTCAGACACATACTAGTTGCGTGACCCTGGGCAAGTCGCTTGACCTTTGGTTGCCTCTGTTTCCTCAACTGTAAAATGGGGGTGATCAAATGAGATATTTATAAAGCTTTAGCACATGTAAATGCTATATATTGCTATATACTATATAAATATATATACTACATATTTACTATACTATATACTCTATAAATGCTAGCTACTATTATTAGTGAAGCAGATTAAAGCAGAGTCTTCAGAAGTGGGAAGCAGAAAAGACACAGGGACATAGGAAAAAAGGGGTAGGAGGAAAGGCTGTCATCTTCCACAGGATTGAACCTCAAACTGTCCCAGGTTTGGTCCCTGGCCTAGAGGAGAAACCCACTGCTGCAGTTTGGGTGTCGAGGAACCAAAGCAAAAAAGGAAACATAGGAAAGACAAGTTTTAAAGGGAAATCCAAATTATCTTCAGTTTTTATTGGGTCTCCTCCAGGCAGATCACTGAGGTGCCAGGTGCTGGAAGAGTTACCAAATTCATACACAACTCAGTCCCTTGATTACACGTGTATAGCCTGTAAGAGATTGGTTGCTGTCTTGAGGAGTGGAGAGGGGAGGGGAGGGAAGAGAAGGGGAGGAGAAAAACATTTAGAACTCAAACTCTTATAAGAGTGAATGCTGAAAACTAAAAAAAGAACGAAACCCAAAAAACTCAGTCCCTGTCCCCAAGGAGCTTTCAGACTCTGGTAGGAGGATAGGACACAGAAGACAAACCCTAAACGACAGAAAAGTGAGGTGGAAACAAAGGCACTCTGGGTTAAGCTTAAGGAAGGAAAAGATGCAAATGGTACCTCCTTAGGGATCAGAGTTTGGATTCTAGACACTTGGGGGCAAAGGAGGTAGATAAGAATGAGTGTTTGTACCCAGGTGCTCTGTCTCCATCAGGAGGGGAGGGAAGAGAAGGTGAGCCCTGGGACTCTGACACCCCACTCTGGTTGCCTTCATGGGCCCTTGCAAGAACAATGCCGAGCTCGTGGAGACCAGGCTCTTATTTCCTCCAGTTTAGAGCAGGGGTCAGTGCCTTCAAAGAGCAGGTCTCCAACAGGAGGTGTTGAGGTTAGGGGATCTAGGCTCTCTATGTAAGGACACCAGTGCCTCGAGGGTATGGAGTGCTGGAAGGGAATTCAACATCCCTATAAGTGTCCTGGGGAGGCTAGGGGTAGGGAGAGTGAAACCATAGTTTGGCTCCATTCCAGGTGGGACCCAAGGCCTTGACAGGGGCTGGTCTGATGGTGCATGGGCTCCACTGTGAAGCTGGCCCACACCCCAAGAAGACTCCTAAGAACAAGGCTTTAGGGACCCCTAAGGGGGGTCCCAAACCCAAGGGCAAGCCAAAAATGGGTCAACTCCTGGAGATGTTTGAGAAGAACTTGCAAAGGTACCCCTCAAAACCCAACCTGGTCCAGCTTCCTGACCTTCAGCCTTCACCCACAGGTTGCCTATGGGGGGTTGAAGGGGAGGAAAGAGGTCAAACTCAAACTCTGATGAGAAAAGCCAGATAGGGCATCTAGGTGGTGCAGTAGAAGAGCACCAGCCCTCAGGAGGACTTGAGTTCAAATCTGGCCTCAGACATAGAACACTTACTAGCCGTGTGACCCTGGGCAAGTCACTTAACCCCACTGCCTAGCTGAAAAGAAAAAAGAAAAAAGCCAGACGGCTGAAAAGTGGGATACTCTTGAACCTGAGGAGGTGGGGAGGGAAAGGACCATGAGAATACTAACAATAGCTCACATTTATATGGCTTCTAAGAAACATCAAGGATGACAGAAGGAAATGGGGCAGATATTATTATCTCCATTTTACATATGAGAAAACTAAGACCCAGGATCACAGAGCAAGTTAGGTGGCCCTGGACTCTTGAATCCTGACCCTTCCTTCCATTCCACCCCACAACCCTAGTGGTCTTTCTACTTTCCTATTTTCTACTGTCCTGTGAAGAAATGGATAGGGGTGGGTGCTGAGATGAGGGAAAGGGAGGAAAGGGTGCTCTCTGCTCTTTCCCATCCTAAGGGTATCTTTTCAATGCTCTAACCAGGATTTCCTCACTCTGTGATTTTATCTGCCAAAAACCTACTTTGTCCATCCTAGACCAGAAGAGCCCAAGACCGACAAGGGTAGGTACACACCATCTAATCCCCTGCCTTTCAACCCTTGGCTCCAGTTCACCCTGTCCTTCTCCCTCCCTCCCTCACAATGTAATTCAATTCTAAAACCTTAAGCCCCAACTAACCAAACTATAGTCAAGGCACTGTGGGAGGGCATTAAGGACCCATACAAAAATTAAGTCAATCACACATATTCTCAGAGAGTTTACATTCCATTAAGCACTGAGTGCTCCCCCAGTGCCAATTCTGGGGCCCAGCTCCAACACCACCCCATCCCTCTCTGTCCCCATAGCATCTGCCCATACATTTCTTCCACAGGAAAACGTCCACCAGACTGTTTGGAAGAAGACTAAGGGGGCTAAGGGGCGCCTTTTCTCCAAACATGAATTCAGGGCAGACGATCCTGTTGTAAAGCCTTGGTTCCAGCCACAAAACCTCCTTCATCCCAAAGCCACTCTAACATAACACCATTTACAAAGCCGTTACCTAGGACCCAAGGCCCTAGACCCCCATACCATGCATGCCACTTAATCACTAGGTGGCGCTAAATGGCCACTTGCTCTTAGGGAGAGGTGGTAAGGAGACCCCTGAAGTCCAGGAGGGGAAGGGCCATCACCTGGCCCCTTAAGAACCCATTGCCCTTTCTCAAGCCCTTGTGTGGGACCAGCTTTGAGGATGGGTCCCAAATTTTCAAGGAATAATGCTGATGAAAATAAACATCAGGCCCAGGCCAATGCAATCCTTCCTCCATCTGTTGAATTCCTACTCTTTAAAGCCCAACTGCCGTACTGGTCTGTCATGGACTTTTCCACTGACCCTTATCTCAGAGAGTTACTTTATTTTGTAATTCTTTCATGAACTTAACATGTACTACTGCGTAATATAGCTACTGCGCATGTCTTATCCCCCTAAATTGTACTAGACTATACCAATCAATTCAACAAACATTAAGAGCCTGCTCAGACAAGATATCCTGCTAGGTTATACTCACCAAAACCCCTTAAAAATGCATCTAGCATTGGATTAAATTCAATAAGAGAAAACCACAAAAGAGCTGAGTTTTAAAAGGCAGCCCAGTATAATAGAAAGCCTGTTGGACTTAGAATCAGAGGACCTGGATTCCAGTTCTGGCTCCACCACTTTCCAGTGTGTTTCCTACTCTGTAAAATGAGGAAATAGCATGATGGAAAATGATATCCACATCCTGAGAAAAGAACTCTGGAGTCTGAATGCATATGGAAGCATACTATTTGCTCTCCTTTTCTTTTGTTGTTTTGTTTTGTATCTTCTTTCTCATGGTTCCTCCCATTAGTTCGAATTCTTCTTTACATCATGACTAATGTAAAAATATGTTTAATATGAATGTATAAGTAGAGCCTATATCAGATTGCACACTGTCTTGGGGAGGGGGGAGGAGAAAATTTAAAACTAAAAATCTTATGGAAGGTAATGTTGAAAACTAAAAGTATATATGTGTATATATACATATATATATATAAGGGAGTAGGCCCCAATTATGTGCCAACTCTGACCCAAAGGAACCCAAGATAATAATTAAGGTAGAAATTTTGCCTATTGAAGTCTTAGAAAAACTTTTTCCCTCTACCCCAATTCTTTGGGGCTTTCCTTTTCTCTGTTTCTTTGCCTTTCCCCCCTCCTCTTAGCATCTGTTCTTGACTGTTACAAACCTTCCTCCTCTTCCTCCCCTCACTCCTAGCCTACTGCTGCTACTCTGCAACTTTCTGCTCTGTAAGTCTGATTCCTGAGACTTCCATGGACTTGTCTACTCCCTGAGAGATGTCTTCCCTGCCCTCAGCCTTCCTTGGACTGGACTGGTGTTGGATTTAGTAAGCAGAGATGCCCAAGTAACTGTGAGGAGGGGTCAGGCACAAGGCAATGGGGTATCCTATTGCAGGGCTGGGGAAGGGGCAGGGCAAGGGGAGAAAGTGGGGCTAGACAGTGGGGGGGGGGCAGTAGGATCTAGGAGAGTCAAAAGGCAGGAGCTAAAATCAATGGGAGAAAGGGGTAGGAGGAAAGGCTGTAATCTTCCACAGGTTTAGTCCCTGGCCTATAGGAGAAACCTGTTGCTATAGTCTGGGTGTCTAGGAACCAAAGCAGAAAAGTTCCCTCCTCTTCTCCCTTTCTGTCCCTTTTCCTCCTCCTCCTCCTCCTCCTCCTCCTCCTCTTTCTCCCTAGAGGCTGGACTCTCTCCAGTCACCCCCCTTTCCCTCTCCCTCCCTCCTTCAGCTCTCCCCTCCCCTTCATGCTCCATGCCTATTTAAGGCAAGAGTGCTTGTATGACTTTAAACAATTTTAGGCTCTTCTCTCTGCCCTGGGCTGAGACAGCCAGGAGAGGTAAACAGTACTTGGGGTCGGCAGCTGGGGGGAAAATAAATCAGGAGACAGGTTGCCTGGTGGGAGGGAGGGACAGGACAGCGGAGCTAATGGCTTCCCATCCCCCACCCCATCCTCCCAAGGACCTTAGGAAGAACCTCACCATACAGGTCCTTCCTAGCTGTTCATTCTCCTCCTGTTTTCTCTCTTCCCCTTAGATGGGCTCAGCCCAGCAGAACCCAGCACTGGGCCTGACCAAATTCCTTCCGAGGCTCCAAATTCCCACAATGCTCAGGGAAAGCAGTGGAGCAGGGATAACACCAGCTAATGGAGGGAGGTGGGGGCAGGGGGAGAGAGAGGACAGAAGAGAGAAAGGAGAGAGAGAGAGAGAAGGGGGGAGAGAGAGAGAGAGAGAGAGAGAGAGAGAGAGAGAGAGAGAGAGAGAGAGAGAGAGAGAGAGAGAGAGAGAGAGAGAGAGAGAGAGAAGGGAGGGGGAAAGGGGAGAAAACATGCCTTTGCCTGGTAGACTTATGAGGTGAATGTGTGCCCTTGTGGTGGGCAGTGCTTGTGTGTGTGAGAGATGTGTTTGTGCACAGTGGAAGGTGTAAAAGTGGGTGGAGGTGAGGGGGATGGGACAGAGAGGAGGGATTGAAGCTTGTAGCAGACTCTTTGCACAACATATGCCCATTTATAGCCTCCCTTCTCCAATGTTCCCTCTCTGTCGAAACTGCCTTTGATTTCTACCATCTCCTTCCCCTCCCTCCTTGCTTCAGTCTCTGACTCTTTGCCATGATCCATGTGGGCTGGGACCATGTTGCCTCCTTCTCTTATATCCCCTATGGCACCGACTTAGCAAAGGGACAGGCCCAGATTAAGCAGACCCATAAGGAAGTATTGTTTGGTAAATGGAATTGCAATTCACAGCTTAAATTAAGTGCTTACTCTGTGCCAAGCACTGGGCACTTAGTAAGTGCCCTGGAAGTGACCATGCAGATAATCTATGCCAGGAGCTCTTACCCTTTTTTGCGTCAAAGACTCTCTGGTGGTCTGGTAAGGTCTATAGGAGTCCCTTTCTCAGGACAATGCTTTTAAATGCATAAAATAAAATACACAGAATTAAAAAGGAAACCAGTTATATTTAAATAGTAAAGTTGTTTTTTTGTTTTGCTTTTAGGCAGTTGGGGTTAAGTGACTTGCCCAGGGTCACACAGCTGGTAAGTGTCAAGTGTTTGGTCTGAGGCCGAATTTGAACTCAGGTCCATCCTGACTTCAGGGCCGGTGCTCTACCCACTGCGCCACCTAGCTGCCCCGAATAGTAAAGTATTTAAAAACCAAATTCACCAATCCCTAATTAAGAGCCCTTGTTCTAGTATAGTCCCTACATTTTGCAGGTAAGGAAAGGCAGGCCTAATTCTTCACTGTACTGTCTTCTTCCTCCAAAGTCTTAGAACACTTCATCTGCATCTGTCCTAGATGCTAGCCCCAGGGAGCAGTGGACCCCACTGGTGAGTGGGCGAGTCGATTTTCACCTCATCCCCACCTCTATATCTGGTATTGGTGTCCAGGTCAGTGCCTCCTGCCCTACCTCCATCCATGGGTCCCTCTCCCCTCACTCCCTTTCAGCTCTTACTCAGGGAACAAGATTCCAGTCACTACTATCAGTGCTTCCTGGAAGGATCTACTGACTTACAGCTTCATTTCTAATCCCTGAGACTGTTTTAGACTAAATCTCCTTTCCCTGCTTCCCTTCCTTCCCCTATATAGGTTGTATTCTTCTGCTAGAATTAAGCTCCTTGAGGGTAGAAACGGTCTCATTTTTTGCATTTGTCTCCTCAGTGCCGAGCACATCTCGCCAGAGTCAATTAACAAATGCTTTTTATGTGGCTAATGAGGCAGTCTGTTTTGCATAACTATACATACTTGTAATGGGTTCTGTTTTTCTTACCTTTTTGATAGGTGGTGGAGGGAGAGAATTTGAAACTAAAAATAAAACTGAATTTTAAAAAACACTTTTTGATTGATTGTGGTTATTTATATGCATGTCTTACCTCCTCCATAAGATTGTAAACTTCTGGAGGAAAGGGATGCTTTTTTTACCTTCATATCTCCTCCGAGTGTTAGGGCAGTGCTTTGTACATACAGGGCCTTCCAAGACGCTTGCTAGAAAGCCCAGAATCACTCAAGGGCCTGCTCCTCCTCACTTATCCTTCGCTTTCCTGAAGACCAGGGTCCATTCTCTGAGAAGCTCTGTGTTCTCCCTCTGGGTTACTCCTCAGCTTGCTTTTTTTAAATTAAGGTATTTTGCTTTTTTACATCTCAATCACACCCCAATACTAGGCAGCTAGATGGTGCAGTAGATAGAGCGCTGGGCCTGGAATCAAGGAGATGAGTTCAAATCCTGCCTCGAATACTAGTTGTGTGACCCTGAGCAAGTCACTTAACCTCTTAACCTCAGTTTCCCCAACTATAAAATGGGAATAATACTAGCACCCACCTCCCAGGGTTGTTGTGAGGATCTAATGAGATAATACAAAGTGCCTGGCACCTAGTAGGGGCTTAACAAATGCTTGTTCCCTCCCTCCCTCTTCCCCTAATATCTTCCCTTTTAACAACAAGAAACCACCCAAACCAAACAGAAGTATAACTTTGATACAGGTATGCATCCTTCATCTTGTTTCAGCCACAGGCTGCCCTTCCTCATCTGGTCCCTATTCCCACCATTTCCTGATAATCTCTCACTCTCTCTCTCTTTCCGTCTCCCTCTCTCCCCCTATTTCCTTTGCCTAGCTCCCTCCCCTCCCTCATCTTAGTCTCCCCCCAGTTTTCTTCCTTGCCTAGTACTTGCCCAGATGGTTTCCCTCCTCTTCCCCTTTTTCTCAGCAGCAGTGGCCAGGGAAGAAGGGCAGGGGAATCAATCAGGTTGCTTCTTCCAGGTGGCTGCTTCATTCCCCTCCAGTCTTTCCCATGTTGCTAATCCCCTGTGTTCTCCACATGACTGAGATGCTGGACTCCAGAGTTCAAAAGGATATGACCCAATGTATCTTTTACAGATCATATTGCCTCCTCTGGCTTGCGAAGGTATTCACTGGCATCTACTCAAAATCCCTAACTCTACCTCCCAGTCGCTGGCCCCTCCTTCCCCCAGGCCCTGATGCTTAAAGAGTAGGAGAGGAGGAAGCTACAAAAAGGAGATTTTTTAAATCTTTTCTTTAATCTTGTCTTGGGTACCTCCAAGACCCCGATCCTTCCTGCCACGGTCCCAGGGATACGATGCCAAAGGTATGGGGATATTTCAGGCAAGGCCAAGATCTGAGTTCAAATCTTGCCACTAGCACTGGCATCAGAGCATGAATGAGTAGTTCCAGGTCCTAAACAGTGTCAATACTAGTCTAGACCTCCAGGACTTCATCCACTGTGGAAGAGAAAAGTTAGGAAGATGCAACCCAGAGTAAATCCAACACCTTCCCACACATACACATGTTGCACTAGCCTGACCCTTCTGATTAGGGAATATCTCAATGCTGGCCTAGAATCAAACTAGTCTATTAGAATGTCAGAACAAGAAGGGACTTCTTAGAGACAATAATAATGAAAGCCAGTATTTATATAGTGCTTTAAGGTCAGTAAAGTGCTTTATTTATGTAAATAAGCATATGTGCTTTGTTATCCTTATTTACAGATGAGGAAACCAAGGCCCAGAGAATAGTCAAGGTCACCCAGCTTAATGAATGTCAGAAGTCTGTGCCCAAAACTCCTAATCCTGGGCTCTCTTTACACACACACACAGACACACCCAACTCCTTTTCCTTCATTTGTCTTGATGTATTTTCTTCTGGGCTGAGGTTTGGGGAAGGAGTTAAGATCACAGGATCCCTGATTTAGAGATGGGAGAGGGACCCATCATTTTACAAATGAGCAAACTGAGTCCTAGAGAGAAATTCAGTAAGTGTCTGAGGTAGGAATTAAACCTAGGTCTTTTTAGATTCAAGTCCAGCCTTTCACCTACTAGGTTCCCAACCTCTAGCTCCAGATAAGGGAAGCTAAGTGGTCACAGTTCACCCATCTGTCCCAAAGGAATAGGAAGGGAAGGCAGACTTTTCTAAAATCTTCCTCTCTTGATCTGCCTTAGCTGTCCGTTCTTTCCACTGCCACTGGAAGTTCACCTGAATTATTAGAATCAGAGTTCTGAAAGGCCTCCCTGCCTCCAGGCTCTCCCCCTCCCCAATCCATACTTCATGCCAAATACTACTCTGTGAACAATGTCTCCCTGCCCAGCCCCAACCCCCAGGCTAATGTCCAGACTCCTTAGCTTGGCCCTTGGGGCTCCCCCACTTCCTCCACAGCCAGCTTCCTCAACTTCCAGGAATTTTTTCTTCATTTCTTCCATGTCTTGTCTCATGCTGCTTCCCCCTGCTTGGACTAGGCATCTCCCTCCTCTCTAAGTCTTACCATCCTTCAAGTCACACCTCCTCTAGGAAACCTTCTCGGCTTCTCAGGAGCCAGTGCAGAAGCTGAAGAGTTTGATTGTTGTAATAAGCTGACTATTAGCATTAGCTTTTCATGAGTACAATGAGTACTATCTCTCTGGCTGCCATCTCCACGCCATCCCCACCTCTGTCCTCTGTTTCCCAAGAGCTCAGCACACCCTGACAGAAGAGGGGAACTTAACAAATGTTTGTTGTATGGGATCGAATTTAAACTCTCCTCCCACTCCCCCCAACCAGACAGCATCCAGCACTGTGGTTTACACACACACAGTAGGCCCTCATCTGCTGAATGGATATCTCTACTTGTCAGTCTGCCCATCCCCCACCCCCATTCCCTCTGCTTTCCCCATCCCCCAGGTCTGCATTTTTGACACTTAATTATCTTTATCTTTCAGAAGCATTCCACATTTCCAACTATCACAACCACTCCTTTGGCTTGGGCTAAACATACCAGGCACACACACAGTACTAAGTCTGAGACAGAGACCTGGCATTTTCCAGCCTCTCAGTCAAATACTGCCAGGGGCCAGGGGTCTAAGGAGGCTCCCTGAAGCCTTTCCAAAGAGGCACAGGGCTGACTGTCTCGTGGTGCTACATTTTTGTCCGCTAAATCTCACCATCCCTGAACTAAGTAGAGAGAAAATCATTGTCTGAGATACTGTGGGGAAATCAATTGGAACGCCCAGGTGAATAATGGTAATCTCATATTTAGACAGTGTTCTAAAATCTGCAAAGTATTTGATATGGAGGTTCATTGGAGCCTTACAACAACCCTGGGAGGTAAGTACTCGAGGTTGTCATCATCCCCATGGCCCCCAAAGTCCAGGAAGGATAAGTGACTTGTC